GTGTTGTTAATGTTGTCACAGGCGCCACTGTTTATACGTAGAGTAAATTTTAAGGGATTGTTTGGGGTATCTTAAATAAGTGTATTTTTTATCTTTTTAAATTAAAAAGTTAAGGAAAAAAATATGAATGTTTGGGTTAATTTTTTGACTTTTTATGAAAAAATGTGTAATAAAAAATTGGGTATGGTAGGGAAAAATCTAAGATTGAGAGTTGTGCAGTCGTAATTGTTGACTTTTGGTGAATAGTATTAACTTTTTAACTTTTTCAGTAACTTTTTGACTTTTTAGATTTTTTCATATTACCCAAACTTGGCCTAAATACACTTTTGATATAGTATTTGTTTAAAATATCAAACATTATTTATAATTTTAAAAATTACATCTCACCATTTTAAATTTTTAATCATATAATAAATGACTTTTTTCATTACTTAATCATTAAATCAATTAATAATTTTAATGATATTAAAAATATATTTTAAGTAACAATATTACTGTTGTATAAAAATATAGTTAGAAATTTAATTTATTTAACTTTATTAAATTGATAAATTCCAAAGATGTGTAAATGATTCAATGGGTATATTTTACCAAAACATCAAAGAATACATATCCTAAGAGCATCTCCAAGGGAATAGCTAAAAAGAGAGTTATTATGCATTTTAGCTAATGTGACTCCAATTTTGGACCTCCAATGGGCTGGCTATTGCGCTAGCTATTTTTTCATCAGATTTTTTCATTGGCTACAATTGAAGAGCCCTAAAGGCTCTGCAAACAAATACATTTATTCTTTCCTATCAAATCACCTTGACCTTTCTACATCTCTCTCTATCAACGCATTCTCAAGGTATGGTACTCTCTCTCTCTCTCCCTTTCTTTCTCAGGTTCGGCCTTGGCCATAGGCTCACAAGGCCATGGCTTAGGGCCCATAAAAATAGGCCCAAAATAGGGGTTCCCTCCTATTATAAGTTAGTATTATATATTGGGCATGTTTTAAGTCCAAAAAAAATTTAAAAAAGGCTCAAACTAACTTAAATTTTTTGACCCATTAAAAGGTCAATAGTTAAGGCTTAGCCCAACTATTTGAACGGCCCATTTTTTCTAATTTCTAACCCTATCTTCTATTAATCCAACATTCCCTACATTTGTTTGATATAGCACACACCAGCAGCTTAGGGACGGAGCAGCAGCAAACAGGTAAATTTTTTATTTATTTTTTTTATATTTGATTAATTAAATATTTATCTTGTCTTTTGCACAATTAATTGCTATTATAATATTGATATTTACATCATCAAGAAGAATTTATTTAAGTTTAATAGTTCACATCACATAATTTAAATGTTTTGTTAAGTGGTGGTGCTCTTGCTTTGAATTTTGATTTTAAAAAATATTTTGATCTCAGCAAAGCAAGCACACGTAATTTTTTTTTTCTATTCAATTAATTAAAAAAAAATTCTAAGTATTTTTTGTGATTTTAATACAAATATTTTGTCCTTTACCTTAATTTTTTTTTCATTCAATAAAAAAAAAATATGAAGAGCCCCAGAAATTTAGTAGTTGATTATCGACTTTGAGCCCTAAAAATCTTAGGCCCAGGCCTGCTCTCTCTCCCTCTCTTTGCTAAATCTCTTCTTTTTCTTCTCACTTTTCAACTCTGTCACTTATGTAATTGAACCTCCTATTTCTCCTTTGATTTGGATTTCTGATTTTGGGTTTGTGTATATGTCTTGGATTCGGTTGTGCATGAAGAAAATAGAAGAAACAATGGACTCGGTTGTGCATCTTGATAGTAGTCACTGTTGTGCATCGTTGCTAGTCGCTTTGGCTTTTATTTTAATAATTTGAGTTGTTTATTCTTTAAAGTATATTGAGTATATTAATAATTTTTTTATTAAATTATATTTTTATTCAATGTTACTGTTAAAATCATTTTTGACACGAATGTTATATTCAATGTATCTTAAAAAATAAATAGTTCAAAATTTTAAAATAAGACCCAAAGTGAGTTTCAACTACCGCACACAGTAGCGGTGGTGCACAATAACTACCCTGATTCCAGAAAGAATTAGGCAATATACAAAATAAAAACATCCAAATAACTTGCACTAAGAAGGAAAAGAAAGAGAGAGGTCCTTTAAAACGGCTAGAAATGTAAATAATCACTAATAAAGATTATTTTATTCAATTAGTTATCTATTATTTTGCAATAATAATAAATAAATAAAAACCAAGTTTATTGTGGTCAAAAACCTAAAAACACAAAAAATGAAGTTGTAATTAAGTAGTAGTATGAGAATTTGCACTCTCTAAATCTCTCTCTCTGCATTTTATTTTTTTTAATATATTTTTAATAAAATTTTTATTTTGCTGATAGAAAAAATTAAGTCATAAAAAAAAAGTCACAATTTTTAATTCACAAATTTGTAGGTTATATGACCAATTTAACAAATACCCATTAAATGATGAAACAACTGCTTTGTTTTGTCGCATTAAAAACAAATGTTTTAATATTTAGAATTAGAAAAAATTAGAAAAGATACAAAGGAAGAAAGAGACAGAATTTGGTGCTTTGTAAAAGTTAAGAAGATTAATTTTTATAGGTACTAATCTAATAACTAATTATTAATTTTTGTCAAAAAAAAAAAAATGGGAGAAAAAGAAAAGATGAGATGAGGAGAAACAATGTTTTGTAATGACACTTGATAACATTTTGGAAAATTTTATTTTTACACACCTACTTATCTTAGTAGATATATTTAATGAAGTATTATTTTAATGACAATTATACACTAAAGTAAAAGAGTAATACTAGAGATCTCGAAAGTTTTATCAAATGTCTCATATGAATGTGAGACCCAGTAAAACTTTTGGTGTCTCTTACAATTTTCAAAGTAAAATAATTATAATGGTTATCAAAACACACTCTTAATATTATATTCAAATTTTTTCTAAACATATCTTTTTTAAATAAAAAAATCTCAATATACATTTTTTAAATAAAAAAAATCCTAATTTATCCGTTTCTCACTTGCCCGCAAAACAATACTATCAAAACTCAAAAAGCTCAAAACTCGCTATAGTTGCTATATACAACAATGATAGAGACCACTAATTTTGGAGCTCTAAAAAGACCACTAATGACATGACACTTAATAAAAAAAGAAAAAAAATACAACACCAAGGCCAAAATATCAAATCATTCATGGTGAAGCCTACTGTCACATCATTAATGGTAACACTAATTAGTGCTCCCACTCATTTTCCCTCCTATATATTACATCTTTCTATATTTCTTCGTCAATCAATTTCATTGAACCCATCTTTCTTGATTTTACTCGAAGAAGACCCATATATTGGAATTGGGTTAATACTCCCAATAGTAAAGAGAGAGAGAGAGAGAGAGAGGGAGGATAGGATCCAAAAATATGGACTGGAATATGGGAAACCTAAGACCCCCTTTTGTTTCTCGGCCTGAGAACTCCTTAAGCTTCCTCTACAACTTCAACTATGACTACTATCCAGGTAATAACACACTCTAGAACCCCTCCATTTTTTGTTTTTTTTTTTTTTTATTGATTTGATTCTGATGTGTTAAGAGGATGCAACTTCAGTGGAAAATATTTCACTCATAATTTATAGCTAATATATATATATATATATATATATTGATTTCAATCATAATGATAATATTGTCACAGTATATCAATTTTCTTCATACGGTATTTCTTATAGTTATCTTATTTTTTCTCAAACCAGATACTTGTACGATTGTATCATTTTCAGGTTCAATATCATTTTTTTTCACTTTCCTCTTTCTCTTTTTTTCTTTTTATAAATTCATAATAGAACATAACCTTAAATCTTTTCAAAACTCAAACATTTGATACTATGTTTATTATATTTTTATGTTACATTATATTTATTATTTTACTTGACAACATAATATATTAATATAATATGTCACATCACTCATGTATATAACATTAACAATTAGATTATCATATCAAATAATAATAATAAAATATATATACATGAAACATTATTCCATAGTTCAAACCTCCCTATGAACTCCAAATTTCTTGCTGTCCTCCAAACATATATATATATATATATTATTTGAAGAAATCTCTTTAACATAGGATTACTTTGAAACTATTGATAATATAACGTAAATAATAAAATTGTCTATTTTTCTTACAGCTTTACATGAGTTGATGATCAACAATTTAATTGAACTCATTCTTATACAAAAGTCCAAATACCCGCAATAACTCACAAATCATCTGTGTAAAGACTATGGGTTGTTTTGGCCACACAAAAGAAAAATGCTCTCAATCCATCCCTAATAACATGGAATAGAGACCATGTGAAAGAGTAGACTCACACTCCTCATCCATCCTCTCTTTATCTTTCTTTATTTCCTCTCTTCCACCTCATTATGGTGTGTTTGGTTGGAGGATTTGGAGAGGGATTTAGAAAGGGAAAGGGAAAAGGTGTGTGAAACTATGTGAAATTTAGGCATGTTTTATTCATATTTCACCTAGGTGTGTGAAACTATGTGAAATTTAGGCATGTTTTATTCATATTTCACCTACCTTTTCCATTTCCCTTTCCAAATCCCTCTTCAAATCCTTCAACCAAACACAATATTAGGGATCAAAATTATGGTGTTATATTAAGGGATGTAGCATAGTTGCACACAAAAATAGTAAAAAAGTCACAAAAATCACTACAAAAAAGTTAACTCTTCTTCCTATTTTTCTACATATATTTTTGTATAAAGTCAAAAATTCAACCAAAATAGATACTTTCCAAAACAACCCTACATATAGAGAAACAACATGCTTAAGTATTAAAATTGAAATTGAAGTTGTGTTTGGCTCATGGATTTAAAGAGGAATTTGAAAAGAAAAAAGGAAAAGGTAAAGGTATATGAAATGCAAGTGAAATGTAGTGATGAACCAAGCACAGACTTAGTGATGAAGAACCATAGTGTGGCCATTTTTCTAGCTTGAAGCAGATGAAGAGAGTGAAATTTGTTGAATGGTTCTAAATTATTGGCAGGACTAGAGACGAAGTACCCGGCAGCCGCGCAGGGGTCGCACCACGCGGGGGTGGCTATTTCAGGAATGGAAAAGAACAGTAATTGTGACGGGGGAGGAGGAGGAGGGAATGAGAAGAAGAAGAGACTGACAAGTGAGCAGTTAGAGTCACTTGAGAGTAGTTTTCAGGAGGAGATAAAGCTGGACCCTGACAGGAAGATGAAGCTTGCCAAGGAGCTGGGACTGCAGCCTCGTCAAGTTGCTGTTTGGTTCCAAAACAGACGAGCTAGGTGGAAGGCTAAGCAGCTCGAGCGCTTGTACGACTCTCTCAAACTCCAATTCGATTCTGTTTCCAGGGAGAAACAGAAGCTCCAAGATGAGGTAAATTTTGTTTTCTTATACATTCTGTTTGGTTTAGTTTTCACAGTCGTACGATTATTGATTCAATTTAATTTTTTTATTTTTATTATTTTTTTATGAATAATATATATAAATGACTCTATTAAATAAACTCTTCGGATCGTAGAAGCTCCAAACAGTCTCTAAAGTTCAAATCTTTGGAAAAAAAAATGTTCAAAAAACCCAGGGATTGGTTTGGTAATTGATAATTTTATTTTTTTTACGAAAAATGTGTAAAAAATAAAAATAATAATGTAACAACTTGTAATGACCTTTTAACTATTTTAACCTATTGACAAATGATACTTAAAACTAATTTGGTAAAAAAAATTAATAGTAATAAAAAGGAAGATGCACCAATAAATCTCATTTATATATCTTAGTAACCAATATGTACTCCAAGTAATTTAACGAATCCAACCGTCCTATTTGTGTGGAAATGACAGTCTAAATCTACAATTTACACTTGTGTATGCTAGTTTATTACCTATTTGTTCAAAGTTTACTAAAGAATTTTTGTACTTTTTTTTTTTTTGATCAGTAAAGAAAGTTTTATTAATTGAAGGAATAAACAGAGTAGGGGGAACAAAACACCAAAAGGCTTAATGTATGTTTGGTGAGAAACCAAACATACAGGGTAAACAAAGCCAAGAGCTAAACACAGCCTTCTGCAAACCTACACAAAGCCTACTGATATTACTCCTACCCAACCATGAAAGCCAAGCATAACAGATGGAAACAAATGCTGCAGAACAGATGGGGGATCCACCAGACATCCAATAGATATCAGCAGAGATGTGAGAATGAGCATGTGCACCATAATGACCACACAGCAGCATGACACTCCAGAGCAGTGAACCTTGGCCAGCAGAGATACAACCAATACCCAAAGCAGACTTAAGCCAAATACTCCAACAGTAGCTAGATACATCCACACTCCCCATCAGACAGCAGCAAACACACCACACCCAACAATAGCTCCCCAGCAGACAGCAGCAACTTTATATATGTTGGCTCACCCTTAAATATGTTGGCTCACCCATTTGATATTTGCAATAATCTCATGAATAGAGTATGCACATCCCATCCCATAGTACTTTACCCATATGGCCACTCTTACCTTTATTACCTCACACAACTCCTCAATATCAGGTTGGGTGTTGTTAAACGTGCAGTCATTTCTGTATCTCCACAGAGACCAAATCACAGAGATGAAGATAGCTCTCCAGACTTGCTTTGCCTTTTTCCTAAATTTCCACCCCAACCACCAATGCATCAGCTCATCAACCGAGCCTGGAATTACCCACTGAATTCCCCACCAGACCATGATTTTAGACCAAACATTCCACGAAAAGGGACATAACAGAAGGAGATGGCTAGCAGTTTCCTCCTCAGCTTTGCACAGCACACATTCAGACCCTGTTAAGACTCCTATTCTGTTAAGAAATGAAGAGGTTTTCAGCCTACCCTTCCAAGCAAGCCAAGTGATGAATTGGGCCTTTGGAGGTGCAAAACTCTTCCACACTAAATCTGTTACACTATGCACACGGCCAAGACTTTGCACATACCAATCGTAGACATCTCCAACTTTAAACACTCCTGAGCGGTGAGCCTTCCAACTAATGGAGTTCTTCTGGCCATTGTGCAGGCAAGGCCCCGATCCCAGCATATTTTGCAACCGAATCACCTCATCCGCCTCCCAGCCAAGGAGGGATCTTCGAAAGTTAAAGCACCAATTGTTACTGCTCTCCCGACAAGCGATCTGCAACTTCACAGTGATCTCTTTGTCTACAGACAGTTGATACAGCCTAGGGAATTGAGATTTAAGGCTTAGAGATCCCCTCCAGATATCATCCCAGAATTTCACCCTATTTCCATCACCAATCTTGAGATCTACATTCTCAACAAAAAAGTTATATAGCCTAGGATTAGCATGTACCAACGCCAGAATGTCTCTCCAGATAACAGAAGCAGATCCAACTCCATTCAATGAAGGATACCAGCCACCTCCGGATACACCATACTTGGCATAGATCACTGATTTCCACATGGCCTCGTCTTCCAAAGCATATCTCCACCACCACTTTAGAAGCAAACATTCATTAGTCAATAAGAGGTTACGGATTCCAAGGCCTCCTTGATTCCTAGGCAGCTGCACCTCCTTCCAACTTACCAGATGAATTTTCCTATGAGAACCATCTCCACCCCACAAAAACCTAGCTTGAATCTTATCAATTTCTTTAGCCACACACACCGGGATCTTAAATAAAGACATATAGTATATAGGTAAGGAGGATAAAACAGACTTGATAAGAGTAACTCTCCCGGCATAAGAAAGAAACCTACGCTTCCAACCAGATAGTTTCTTTTTGATCCTTTCCACCACAGGTTGCCAAACTTGCTTCCTACCTGGGTTAGAACCAAGTGGCAATCCAAAGAATTTTTGTACTTTTATGGCCATATTTGAAAATTTTCATATTTCAAGTCATTCTAAATCAAAACCCCATAGTTTGAAATTATACATTTGTTCAAAACTTACTAAGGAATTTTTACACTCTTTTTGAAATATTTGCAAAATCCCATAATTCAAGCAGTTTCAATTCAAAACTTCACAGTTTGGAATTATACATTTACTTAAGGGGTTTGGTGCTCTTTTTAGAATGTTTGAAAAATTATACATTTCAAGTCATTTCAAACTCATAGTTTGAAATTACACATTTATCCAAAACTTACTAAGGAATTTTTGTATTCCTTTTGGAATGTTTAAAAAAATATCACATTTCAAGCCATTCCAAATTAAAACCCCACAATTTGAAATTATGCATTTGTCTGAAACTTATTAAGAATTATGTACTCATGTTGAAATGTTTGAAGAATTCCAAACATTCTAAATTAAAAAAATTCCTATATTAGGTTGTGTATTACCTTTTTTGCTTTTTTTTACCAAAAAAAAAAAAAAAAAAAAAAGAAACATTATGAAAATAAGAATATAACCGTAAACTCAAATTTCAAAGCATATATTAAATTCACATTTTCAAAATCAATGGGACTAATTGATCTACAAAAAAAGTCTTTGGGATTACATGGATCACCATTCCTAATGATGAGATTTATAAATAAATTTTCTTAATAAAAAAAAGTTATCTTTTTTGTATAATTTTATCTATTTTGGAGCAAAAATAAACTTTATCTATTTAGCGAATAATAAAAAAAAGGCCTAGAAAACACATTTTGAAAATAAAACTAAATAATTTATATAGTTTATTTATTACATTATGTGTCATTACTATATTAACTTAACCAGTCTTTTAACTATATTTGTTGAAAAAAAAAATTATATAATAAAGTAGGGTAGTTTTTGAATTTCTCCTACACATATTTGTCCTATTAAGATATTTGGACGGTTCAAATCTGTTCAAATTACAAAACAACAGCTGTGATGTATTTTACTTCCCCGCTTTTCTTCCTTACTTTTTTCTTTTCTCACCCACTCTCCCATGAATAATCCCATGAATGATCCCATAATTCCACCTTCCTCCTTTTCTTTTTATTTTTTTTTATTGTCTATCATTTTTTTATTTTCCTCTCTATTTATTTAATTTTTTTTTCTTTTATTCACTTATTTTTATTTACTGAGAGCACGAGTATACACTAGTTTATAAATAAAATATGTTATAGAAATATCAACATCATAGTATTATTGGTCATATGATTCGTACAACACACACTCTCTCTCCATCCGCATGCGGCCCATGCGCAGGTTACATAATATATTACTCTTGCTTTCTAATAATTCTAAAATCAATATTGTTTTTGTCCGACTAATTTGGACGAATACTCTTAGGTCATGTTTGTTTGGACGGACTGGATTAACATTCCCATAACTAATAGTTCTAGGATTACGAATTCGTTGGATTATGTATCATATCTTAACTAATAGTCAGGTTTAAAATAATTAGTCCGTACTTCAATTGTTTAACCAAAAATCGGATCAATAATTTTATTGGACTATTAGTCCAATCCCAACCTCATATTCACCCAAACAAACATAGCCTTACCGTTTACAAGCAGAGTCAGCTAAAGTCAGTCTTATTGATTATTCTTCCACCATTAAATTTTCCTAATTGAAATTGTGTATGATACAAAAAGGTTTCGGCATTGAAAGCTATGGTGAAGGACCAAGCCATGAAGAACATTCAAGCCTCCGCAGGTCACACAGAAATCTCTGGTGAAGAGACAGTGGAGAGCACGTCGGTGCGAAACCGGAGCTCTAGCAGACATGGTGGAACAAGTCACCCACAGATGGGTCACGGAAACTCTGCTTTCAATGTCGACGAACTCAATCCGGTGATGCCGCCCTAATGCTGGGGTGCTGTTCTGTCTTCTTCTTATCCTTGAATGCGATTTGCTAGGTTGTTTGTAAAATTATAACTACTTCTCTAATTAGTTTGAAGTTAGCTTTTCATATGCCCCATGAGGAGGTTATTATTATTATTATCAGCTTGTCTCCCATTGCTTTTCGGATTGGTATGTTTTAAAATTGAATCGGTGAGTGAATTGAAAAAGAGATTGGGTAGAGGAGTTATCTGTTTAAGTGTTAGATTGAATCAGAATTAAATCGTGACATCATAATTATTATATAAATATTTTTATAATTTAAAAATAAATAAGGTACATTCATTTAAAATATTTTTATAATTTAAGATACATATATTTGTTAAGTTTTTATGTTTATATACATTTTTTTATATTAATATTGTTTGTAAAAATATTAATTATACATGTGTTTAAGAAATTACTTTGAATACAATAAATATTATATATCTCGTATATACTAACAAAGAGCTATGGTGACATAATGAAAATCCATGCTCTTCAGAGCTTGAGATGCTGAGTTTAACTCCTTATAGTATCAATTTTTTCATTATTGAACCATATATAGCAAATTGGTCTGGTTTGCTTCAACCTATTCTGGCTTGGCCGGTTAACCAAGTTGGTAAGATACTAACCAACCGAGACAACAACAAAAAACACTTGATACCAAACAACACCCAAAAATAGGGAACCAAACAACAACACTGACTCAAACTAGTAGCCTTAATCCACTTTCCTTTTACCATTAGACAAACAATTTCTAATTTGCCTAAAGTTGAACAGGAAGTTGTGAACTGTGAAGTGATGATCCTTAAACACTTCTTTGAACCCAAGAGCAATCCTAACTTTTATCAGATTACAAACACCTGCCACAGTTGGTTGAAGATGCATTTGATATTTCCACAGAGACCACAACACAGCAATAGGTAATGCTTTCCACATCATTCTCTCCTTTTTGCTGAGCCTTTCTCCTGCCCACCAATTAAGAAGTGCCTCTACTGAGTCTGGTAATGCACCTTGCACATCACACCACATTAGTATCCCTGACCAAACTCTCCATGCAACTGGGCAATACAATAACACATGATTAAGTGACTCATCTTTGATTTGCAAAAAAAAACATAGGGATGATGCATTAGTGGCAAGAACACTAATTCGTATGAGGAAATCTGTTGTGTTTAGTCTGCCCCTTCAAGCAAGCCAACCAAAAAATTGAACTCTGGGGGGGAATGTACTTCACCCACACCAATTTACTGGTTGAAAAGTGATTACCAAACCCAGTTGCCAGAAATTCGTGCACAAATAAGACTGTAAAAATACTTATTTTTTAGGTTGCCCATACCAGTATATCTTCTGTGTTTGACCTGATTGCAGGAACTGCCTGTAAAAAGACTAACGTTCTAGTAACCTCCACATATTCCCAGTTATACAGCTCCCTTCTAAATTGAAACACCCACTCTCTTGTAGCCTCCTTCCATGCCATTATTGAATTTAAGGACTCTCCCATGTTAACTACCAATCTATGTAGAAGTGGGAATTTCTCTTTTAGAAAAGTGTTTTCACACCATTTGTCACATAAGAACTTCACTTTATGACCATTACCAACTTTTATCTTACAATTCTCCAAACAAAAAAAAAAGAAAAAAAAAGGCTTAGAAGACTATTGCTCTGATCAATTCTTGCTACTGTGTCCTTCCAAATTTTAGAGTTGCTACTAATGGAGCTAAGTTTAGGCATCCAATTACCCTCATCCACCTTGTATTTGCTGCATATAACTCTTCTCCAAAGTACTTTAATCTCAATTCCAAACCTCCACTACTATTTCATTAAAAGGCGATCATTGACCTCCTTCAATCTCCTAACCCCCAGTCCCTCTTGCTTAACAGGCTTCGATACTTCCTGCCAATTAGTTAGGTTTATCTTTTTCCTCAACTCATACCCACCCCAGAGAAATGAGGCTTGAATCTTTTCAAACTCCCTTGCTACTTCTTGAAGCATCTTATACACAGATCGATAGTACATAGGCAAAGAAGAAATTATAGCTTTTATTAAGTCTCCCTGCAAATGTGAGTAATCTCCTTTTCTAACCGGTTAACTTGCTTCTAGCTTTATCCAAGACAGGTCTCCATGTTGCTTTTCCACTAGGATTGGCACCAAGGTACTGTAATGGCAAGCTTTTCACTTTGCAATTAAGCACTGATGCGAACTCATTCATAGATTCATCTATTACTCCCACTCCACACACTACACTTTTATGATAATTAATCTTTAAACATGAAAGAACTTCAAAACACCTCAATATCCTCTTCAGATTTCTTACTTCAATTAGTTTCACAAAATAATATGAAGTCATCTGCAAACTGTAAGTGAGTAAGTACCACAATACCTGAACCAATCTTCACAACTTTTATTAGCTAAGTATCACAATACCTGAACCAATCTTCACCCCTTTTATTAGCTCCAATTCAAAATCTCTTGACAGCAACATGCTTAACCCTCTGCTGCTATATTGAACAAAAAAAAAGACAATGGGTCACCTTGTCTAAGGCTTTTTTGTGGATTAAATTCACCTGTTGGAGATCCATTGACAAGCACAAAAAGTCTAGCTAAAGTAATATATTCCTTCATCCATTCAAGCCACATTACACCGAAATCAAAATTTGATAGCATTGAAAACAAAAGGCCCAATTCACTAAGTCATAGGGCTTCTCAAAATTCAACTTTATGATCAGGCCCTTAATTCTAGCTTTCTTCCATCCTTCCACAACCTCATTAGTCACCAACACTCCATCTAATATATTCCTACCTCCTAGGAATATGCTGATTGGTTTTCACTAATAATTTGAGGTAGCACTACCTTCAACTTGAAAGATAGCACTTTGGATAGAATCTTATGCAAAGAACCCACCAAGCTAATTGGCCTATAATCAGCTAAACCCACATTAACGTGGTTACATAATTTCAAAAATATCAATATAATATAATTTTGGAGGAGGGATTAACCCGGGAAGAAGCTCGTGCTACTCTTCAAATGGGGAGGCTGTTAGGGATTAATTATGAAGGGAAAGAAGCGGAGGCCTTACAGAAGATTTCAGAAATGGAACTGAAGGACATGGGGCGGATGAGAGAGGGTCAGCGGTCGTGAGTTGGGTTATGTCTAGAGGGGTTCCAGCGTTATATTTGTATTCTAATGAAGATTCTATCATGGAATTGTAGAAGATTGGGTAGAAGGGAGAAAAAAGGCAAGATTAGAAGCATGATTATAGACAGAAATATTGATATTGCTCTCCTCCAAGAGACCAAGTTATCAAGCTGTTCTGAGATAGATGTTAAAGCCCTATGGCCAAAAGCCAGAATGGATTACTCGTATGTAGATTCAGATGGGAATTCAGGAGGTTTGCTTTGCATTTGGGACCCAGGGACTTTTCAACTTTCAGATTGCTGCTGTAATAGGAGCTTTATACTACTTTCAGGTACTATTCTCAATTCCTTTGAATGTGTCTTAGTTAATGTATATGCTCCTAATGTAGTGGATAGGAGAAGGAAGCTCTGGGATACTCTGGTAAGGTTGAAATCTGCTTCCTCTAAGCCCTGGTGTCTTGGTGGTGACTTCAATGAAATCAGATGTGTGGGTGAGAGGATAGGCTGCTCGAGAAGGCATAGGGGTATGCTGGATTTTAATAGCTTCATTGAGTCATGTGAATTGTCTGAAGTTCCTTTGCTGGGAAGGAAGTATACTTGGTGCAGCGCACAAGAAGGGGTTAAGTGGAGCAAGTTAGATAGGTTCCTAGTTAATCCTGAATGGTTAGAAGTTTTTAAACTCAAATTGTGGGGTTTGCCTAGAATTTTATCAGATCACTGCCCTTTAATCCTCATGGAGGAGGAGAGGGATTGGGGCCCTAGACCTTTTAGATTCATCAATGCCTGGCTGTTACACCATCAGTTCTCAACTTTTTTCGAGAAAGTTTGGAAGGAGGCAAGAGTAGATGGGTGGGCTGGTTTCATTCTTCAAAGCAAACTTAAATTGCTTAGAGAGGCTTTGCGAAATTGGAATAGAGAAGTTTTTGGGGATGTCTCAGCTAAACTCAAGAATGCCGAAGAGGAGTTGAACAAGCTTGATTTGCTAGCAGAAACAAGAGCTTTAGTAGATTCGGAAAAGGCTAGGAGAAATGTGGTGAATAGTGAAGTTTGGAAGCTAAGTAGAAGGGCTGAGTGGATATGGCTCCAAAAAGCAAGACTTGACTGGGCTTTGAAGGGGGATAAGAATACCAGATACTTCCATGTAATGGCCACCAGTAGGCAAAGCAAGAATGGGCTCTATTCTGTTACTGTTGGGGATAGGGTGGTTGAAGATCCTGGGGAAGTTAAACTAGAAGTGTATAGTCACTTTAAGAAGCATTTCTCAGAGGATTGGAAAGTCAGACCATCCCTCGATGGTGTTTTCAGATCTGTTAGGAATAGTCAGGCATTCGAAATGCTAGAAGCAGAATTTGCAGAGGAAGAACTATGGGAGGCCATAAAAAATTGTGATGGGAACAAAGCTCCAGGCCCCGATGGGTTTAACCTTTTATGCTTTCAGAAGCATTGGAAGTTGATGAAGGGGGAAGTGATCCAATTTATGAAGGAGTTTCATACTCATGGTAAACTAGTAAGGGGCATCGATAGTTCTTTTATAACCTTAGTGCCTAAAAAAGAGAATGCAGGGGGGTTGGAAGATTTTAGGCCCATAAGTCTTGTAGGGTCTCTGTACAAAATTTTATCAAAGGTGTTATCATGTAGACTTAGTAAGGTTTTGCCCGAAATAATTAGTGAAGCTCAATCTGCCTTTCTTCGTGGCAGGAATATTTTGGATGGAGTCCTTATAGCAAATGAGGTTGTTGATGGGTGGAAAAAAGCCAAAAGGAAGGGTGTGATTTTGAAACTCGATTTTGAAAAGGCCTTTGATTCTGTCAATTGGGAATTCCTCTTCTCTTTGTTGTCCAGATTCGGTTTTGGTGATAGGTGGATTGCTTGGATTAAGGAATGTGTGTCCACTGCTAGGCTTTCGGTCCTTGTGAATGGTTCTCCAACTGAAGAATTCTCTCCCCAAAAAGGGCTAAGGCAGGGTGACCCCCTCTCACCTTTTCTATTCATTATTGTGGCAGAATGCCTGAATGTCTTTTTGTCCAGAGCTCTAGATTTGAATT